CAGAGCAGATTAGGTTAAAATGTTCGAAATGGCGTACGCACCAACTGGATTTTCGGATGGAAAAATTGTGATATTGACATTCTCATTTAAAAGATCCCCCCCAAAAGGGCATTTGATTAATTGCCCTAAAACAGGTGCGATTCATAATCCTTATCTGCAGATCCAAATCTGGAAAGCCTTTGAATTCCAGAAGTTTTTCCTAAGTCTGGGAACAGTCATTTGGCAGCGAAACCTAATCAGAACCTACGTGAATCTATTTATGATCTGTATGAATCTCGCTTAATGCGATATTCAGACATTTCGTGTGGAAAATCGATGTGTTATTTAATAGGGTGTTAACCCACCCCTGCTGTGACATAATGGCATGTGGCAGCTGTTCCCAACCTTCTTGCACAGGGACCGTTTTCATGGAAGACAGTTTTTCCATGGACCAGGGAAGGAGGGGGAGTGATGGTTTCAGGGTTGTTGAGCACATTACATTTATTGCGCACTTTATTCTATTATGATTACATTGTAATATATATGAAATAATTATACAGCTCCACATAGGTTGGGGACCCCTGGCATATAGTGTTGAATATACCATATTCAAGGTCTTGCATATGCGTCTACGTTTACAGTCATAGCTCACTGCAACCTCAAACTCCTGGGCTCAAGCGATCCTCCTGCCTCAGCCTCCTGAGTAGCTGGGACTATAGGTGCACACCACCATGCCCAGCTAACTTTTAATTTTTTTTTTTTTTGTAGAGATGGGGTTTCACTATTGTCTAGGCTGGTCTTGAATTCCTGACCTCAAACAATCTTCTCACATCTGCCTCCCAAAGTGCTAGGATTACAGGCGTGAGCCACTGTGCTTGGCCCTCATTAGTTGTATTTGAGAAGATAGAGAGAGGGAGTAGAGTTGTGAGAGTGAAGATGACAATTATTCAGTCATGTACTTGGTAATTTGAATGTTGCTTCATTACTTCTCACAACCCTAAGATATGAGTGCTGTCACTATTCATAAGAAATGAGTAGTGGATTCAAACTCACATCTATTGGGCTCTGAAGGCTACATTCTTTCCACTGTGATGTGTTGGGGAATAGAGAGCGGATTAGGTTAAAATGTTCGAAAATGGCGTACGCACCAACTGGAATTTTTCGGATGGAAAAAATTGTGAATATTGACATTCTCATTTAAAAGAACTGCCCCCCCCCAAAAGGGCATTTGATTAATTGCCCTAAAACCAGGTGCAGATTCATAATCCCTTATCTGCAGATCCAAAATCTGGAAAGCCTTTGAATTCCAGAAGGTTTCTCCTAAGTCTGGAGGAACAGTCATTTGGCAGCGAAACCTAATCAGAACCTACGTGAATCTATTTATGATCTGTATGAATCTCGCTTAATGCGATATTCAGACATTTCGGTGTGGAAAATCGATGTGTTATTTAATAGGGTGTTAACCCAGCCCCTGCTGTGGACATAATGGCATGTGGCAGCTGTTCCCAACCTTCTTGGCACCAGGGACCGTTTTCATGGAAGACAATTTTTCCATGGACCAGGGAAGGAGGGGGGGAGCGATGGTTTCAGGGTTATTCGAGCACATCACATTTATTGAGCACTTTATTTCTATTATGATTGCATTGTAATATATAATGAAATAATTATACAACTCACCATAGGTTGGGGACCCCTGGCATATGGTGTTGAATATGCCATATTCAAGTCTTGCATATGCGTCTAGCTTTATAAGGTTTGTCAAATTCTGAATTCAGAAGCATAACTGGCCCCATGGCTTCTGACGGACCGTGCATCCTTTGCCCTCATCTCTTGAAAGTGGCTGCTGCACCAGCCAACTGTCAGGACAGCCGCGTAACCGAAGAAAAATGAGAGGCTTCTACCAGCAGAGGGAGCTGTGACCCCGCCAGATGGGAGAAGGCAGCACCTGTTGCAAGGGGCTAGGAGGTGGGGGGAGAGAGAGTGTGTGTACGTGTTTATGATTGGAAGACAATTGCTTTGAGATTTTAACGCTTTGGACCTCCAGTAAGAGCCTGTTTTTCTTCCTTTAGATGGGACAGGAACAGACATTTGGAATCCTTAATGTCCTGGAATTTTCTAGGTATGTTTCTCTTTCATACACTTGAAGTAAAACACTTATATATATATTTAACAACTTCATCGGGGTGTTTGCATGGTTGTATGGTAGAGTTCAATAGAGTACTTGAGGATCAAACACAGTAAATATAACATATCTCTACAAATCCTCTTCTTTTTGGAATTTGTGACTTTGATTTAAAAAAGCAAACTATATCGTTTTTCTTTTCCTTTTTTTTTTTTTTTGCCCCTCCTCCCCGAAATAAATGTCCTCTTTTTTTCTCTGGATTTCCAGAGCCTGGTGTTCTTGCACCAGCAGCTGCAGACATGTCTGAATAGTTTGGAGTATGTGATGAGGGCATTATTTTCATTGGCGTTTCCCGAGTCCTATGAGGTCATTCCTCCTGCTCCATCTGAGCGCTCCTCTGGAGAGCCGGGAAACTGACAAACGATGGCAGATTAGATCAGTTCATCCCGGCAGAGCCGGGGTGCACACAGGGCATCTCTCCTGTGCATATTTGGAAGCATTCTTCCCTGGTGCAGTTTTTAAAATTAAGACCTAGGAACATTGGTTGGATTCTTTTGTTCCCCTGTAGCATTCATAGTTCATTATATCTAAATGTTTTGTTCTCTTCCCTCTTGTTAATGCTGAACTGTCAATACTAGAGCAAGGTTCTAGCTTTTGCTGTCTCAAAAGCATCTTTTCCTATTGATTAAAATTAAGTGTTTTTTCCATAACCTTTGTTAACTGATGCGCACACATTGTTTACTCTGCTTTATAAACTATTTGATAAAGGTCAGTTTGTTATCCTCGTATAGGAGATGCTTTCCAGCCCCAGTCTTTAGTTTTAGGATTGCAAGTTTGAACTTGGATCAGAAAGGAACCCTTGGGGTTAAGTATTCAGTGAAAGAGTGGGAGGTGGTACATTGACGACAGTGTTAGCTCATGTAGGGCGTGGTGATGGTGCTTCTGTGGATGGAGAAGAGGGACGTGTGGGTATCTCTCAAGACTTTTGTGCCCATCTTTTGTTGGAAACTGTGCACTGCATTGTAGGACTGGCAGTTAGTGGGCAGGCAAGGAGGAGAGGAGAAAAGGGAGTTAGATAGAAACAGATATGGATAGAGACCTGAGGATGTGTTAAATACATACAGGAGAAAAAGAACAAGGAAGATCATTTGTGGTTATAGTTGTGGTTCTATTTCTTTTTAATCGACTCGTCTTTTTCCTGATGTCACTTAATCTTAGCAGTACTCCTTAGAAGTAGTTGCTTTACACATTGAAACACAGGTTAGTGCCCAACTGCTGGGTAGTCGAGAGAGAATGCAAATCTGGACTTGCAGAGTCCTGTGGATTAGCGCGTGGGAATTTCCCCAGAGCTGCAGAGATAACACCCCCGTCCTCAGGAGCTTACGGCCCAGTGGGAATCAGCGATCCGAAAGGCCACGGAGATGGGTGGTCTGGTTGGGGTGTGTTTCAGAAGGATGAAACATGGTTGGCAAAGGCCTGGGTCAGAGTGTACAGAAAAGGAGAATGGTGCATCTTTTGTGAGTCTGAAGCCTGGTGGTGGCGTATGGGAGTTGAGGTGAGGCTGCACAGGTGGGAAGAGAGTGGTAAGAAGACTTGATGGGCAATGGGGAGTCACTGAAGACTCCTGAGTGAGGGTGGGCCGTGATGCAAGATGTGCGAGGAAATGTATACGCTGCGGTGAGAAGAGGAGAGGGAACAAGTTCCTTGGTGCTGAATTAGGAATGTTCTATGAATTTGTAATTTCTTTCTACTCCAGTTAGAAGACAACACAGTGAGGAGCTTTTGATTTAAGTGGATCTATATTGAATCTCCCACTTTGGAACTTACTGGGCAAAGTTACTTGTTAATTTTGAGCTGCAAAATCAAGAATAATACTTGTAGAGGGCATAGGCAGACGTCAATTAGATGTGCACGGCTGTGCTCAAGTTCTCCCTATCTGTTTCTGCTATTGCAGGCAGCTGTGCTAGTGAACTTTCATAGCAGGGAAGGAAATCGGTTTATGTCCATTAGATGCAAATGAAAGGAGTAGGAGATACACAATTCAGTCCTCCTTTGAGGAAACGGTAGGGAAAGATGGAGCATGGCCGTTTTTAGAAGTGCCAGACCCCTTTTTGCTCTGATTGGTGTTTAGTTGGTAGGACGTGCGTCCCATAAACAGACCAATGATAACTTTTTTTTTTCTTTTTAACTCTCCCAGTGACAGAAAAAGAATGTCAGTAATCGTTCGAACTCCTTCGGGGCAACTCCGACTCTACTGTAAAGGAGCTGTAAGTACCTGCGAGGCGTCGTCTCGCTTGACAGAGAGCCTTTGGCGGCCGCCTCCTGCATCTGCTGCTTTTCCTGACCGCTGTCCTCATCATTCCCTGACGCTCTGCCCAAAGTTGAAAGGCCCTTTTGGGTAGGCTGTCAAGTGGACTTAGGAGCGAAAGCCCCCTGAAGATGACGGTGACTCGAGGCAGCAGGGCAGAGGCTGTCCGCGCAAAGCCTGCTTTTAGCCGGTAGCAGCTCGATGTGTCATGCAGAATCCTTGGAGTATGAGTTCTGCTTACCGTTTTACTGCCATCGTGTTGTGACTTTGGGAAGGTGAAATAATTTGTGTTGGCCTGTGGTGATCTTCTCTACGTACTCTGATATGTATTGGTTCTCTAGCGGCTATTCTTCTTAACCACTTCGGTGCGGCGCTTGCCGGCCGAGAAACCTTGCGCCCACAGCGGCGCTCGCGGTCCGCACGGCAGCGTGCGCTGCGCACGGACCACGGGTCCCTCCTGCTCGCGTGTGATGAGGACAGCTTGAGAGCACTGAAAGCTTGTTTTACTTTACAGGCAGCTGTACTTGTCATGTCCATCAGAATAGGTAACATAGACATATATGTTTTCATTAGGTTACTTTTGAATGTTCACAATTTTATTTTGATAAATGAAAAATTAGAAAAGTCACATCATGGCTGTCGGCTGCAGTCCGCTGTGCGCATTCATCTGTGGCTGTCGACTATAGTTGACACTGGTACCAAAGTGGTTAATTGATGTGGTTTGTTTTTAATTCACCGCAGAAAGCTACGTGGCAGGTATGAGGGTACCATGTGTGGCTGCCTTGTTACTGCCCTTTCTGGTCCTGTCTACCTGCCAGCAACCAAATCTAAATGTGTTGCCTCTAAGAAAAGATGTTATTGCTTATGACTCTTAACCTGCGAAACTGTATCTTGTTAAACTGTAGTCTTATGTATTGAGGGAGGGAATTATTAAGCTTATTCTATGAGACCATGTCAAGAAGATGAAGCTATCCTAGTACCAATGATTGGCTGAAAACCTTACTAATCTTTACCAGTCATGGGAGGAAGGCGGTCTTCTTTGAGTGCAGTGTGACCAGGGCTTTATGGAAATGAGGGATGCATGGGAATTCTAAAGGAATTATATCTGGACCCATGAAAGAATTCTGTGCTTAAAAGTAGCAACAACTTAAATTATGATCATCTAGGTTTTGTTCTTGTGTGATCTATTTTCTAAACTTTTTATTTGCTTAAGTTATTTGCCACTGTGTTCCAAGAGCCACGGCAAGCACGAAGGGTCAAAGGGAGGGGAGGGCTGTTAGTTCCGAGCAGGGCACCTCTGAACAAAGGGTGTTCCATTTTTATGGGATTTAATTTTCTCTAAACCTGCTCCCCCCAAACCAAACCAGGTCTCTTTTCAAAAAAAATTCAGCGTTCTAAAACCATGCAATTTATAACCTATTTTATAGATTATCTGTGGTATCCAGACTTCTAGCCCTCCCTGTCAGTCATGGAAATAGTGACGGGCGTGAGCTCGGTACACCTGCGCCCCCTGGCATAACGGGGTTGGTTGTGCCTCCCCGGGTCGGAGCCCCGCCAGCGCAGAAAGCAGGGCTGTACTCGAGTGATTTAGGACGTGGATTTTACCCTTTCCAATTCTGCGCAGAGGTGCGATTCAACTTCGGGATGTGAGTTTGGCAGACTGGAGGAATATAGGCACTGGCGTGGCCTGGCGGTTCTCCTGGCACCGCTGGTGCTTCCCGCATGGCCTTGTCTGACTTTTTAAGATTCTGGTTTTGTGGGACACATCCGAACCCAGTTAGTTTTCTGAAGCTCATGCCTGAGCCCGGCCGAGAGCTATATTCCTGCTTCCCACTCGAGTATCTAACGTGTGTTAAACACCAATGAAGCAAAGCTCAGCACGCTGACTGGGGGGTTACTGACGGGCTTGGCAGTCACAATGTTTCCCTGTTTTGTAGGATAATGTCATTTTTGAGAGACTTTCAAAAGACTCAAAATACATGGAGGAAACATTATGCCATCTGGAATATTTTGCCACAGAAGGTAAGTGCAATTTGGAAATGTTATTTTTGACCCTTGCAGTTGTGCTTTCAGGCATGCCGGCTTGCTCTGTAGCAGCATACCCTTCCAGTGCCTGCCCGTCCCCTCCCTACCTGTACATCCTGAGCCTGGGGCGGGGGTGACCCGTCTGTGCCCCTGCTGACCCATCAGCCGGAGTGCCGAGGAGGAAGGCAGGCGAGGCGAACTCAGCACGCGGAGGATCGTCTTGCAGTTACGGGCCCCTCTTTCAGAAAACTCATGGCCGTTCTCCTGCCCATCTCTTGTTACCCTTACGACACTGGCTTCTCTGTGACTTAGGAAAACAATAGTGCATGAACCCACAGCGAGCAGGGAGGGAGTTTTCTGGAAGGCTTTAATCTGCACTAATGGCAGGTGTTCCTGCTAGCAAATGTGTTGATACCGGTAGCTGGAGCCGTGCGCAAGTGCTGACTGCTGCCTTCTCCCTTTAGCGTGTTCCCATGGCCACACACGCACGCACACACGTGCACACGCATGGGTGTAGCTGCTGGGAAGCCTGGATCTTCCGTGAGCTAACGCATTAGGCTTTTGTTTACTGTCTGGAGTCAGGCCTCCTGCCCTCCCCGCTTGCTGGTCGCTGCCTCCCGCACGTGGACACGCACAGCCCCCGGGCCTGTCTGCTGTGGAGAATTCACCCCCACGACTTTTCACGTTCTCTCAAGTTTACAGAAGTGGCTTGTATTGGAACACAGGAGAGTCGTTCTGAAATTTCCCTTTGTAGATGCGCGAATGTAGAATTAGAGTGACTACAAAGCAGGTGGCTTCTTTATTTTCTTTGAGCGTGCTGGTACCAAAGGAGGCCACACGAGGCCCCGAGGAGGTGCGGCCGGCGTCCTGCCCACCCCACTCAGCAGGGGCTGTCTTGCAGGCCTGCGGACCCTGTGTGTGGCGTACGCGGATCTCTCTGAGAACGAGTACGAGGAGTGGCTGAAAGTCTATCAGGAGGCCAGCACCATCCTGAAAGACAGAGCTCAGCGGCTGGAAGAGTGTTACGAGATCATCGAAAAGGTAACTGCGTGCGATCTGGTCTTTACGGGCCCAGCTTAGGACGTAACCGCCAACCGAACAAAGTCTGTGAGCAGGAAACCTTTTGCTATATGGTGGTGGTCTCTTTTTTTTTTGTAAGTGTCTGAATGAACCGTTAGCTCCGAATCGTTTCTTTCTTTGCTTTAAGAAGCACTTAGTATTTATGGGCTATCTGCAAGGTCTGACCACCCGCAGCTAAGCATTAGTAATATCTTAAGAAATATCAGGTCAAAAACAGCAGCAGTGACTTTTTTCTGGGTTTGCCTGAGATTGGGCTGAAAGGGACGAGCCCATCCTGTTGGGCTACACGAGCAGGCAGAGGGCTGCGTGCCTGCCCAGACAGTGTGCACGCTGAGACTTCTCACGCCACTCGTTCTAGCAACACTTAAGCCTTGCCATTGCTACTCTTTGATTTTTTTTTGGTTATTGTTATTGTTCTTTTCAGCGTATCCCAAGACATTAGGTAGCTTTCCATTTATTGGGTTCCCTCAAGTCTGAAAGCTGGATTTACATTTTTTCTGTTCAACATTAGCAACTATTATTGGGCCATCCGTTTTCCAGTTTTGTTACTTTGAAGCCATCACCTGTTTGCTTTTTTCATCCCTTTATTGATTTTTAAATTCTCTTTTGCTTTTTTATACTCAGTTTTTGTTTGAGTCTTATATATTCAGTTGTTTATAGTCAATCATTTTAATGGAATTTGGGTAGGAATAGAACTGAATTCAAGTGTTCATTTGCTGTGTTTGGAAATATCCAAAATTACTTTTAGGGTCAGACAAAAGTGGTTACATAGGTGATGCACCTGTGTGGTGTCAAGCAAGTGGTGTGGATGCTCAAGAGGTAGTGGGATTTTCCGGAAACGTGGTTAACCAGGTGGAGGTGCTATGTCGTGGAGAGACTCAGGGAGGAGAGTAAGTGGAACAGACCCTCTATGCAGTCTCTGGAACCTTCCAGACCAGCAGGCAGAGCACTGGCAGCTGGGAGGAGCTGTACGGCATGCCCATCCTCAGCGAGAGCTAACTTAAAAAGGGGGCAACGTTTTTATCGCTCCTCAATTTGGAGATACTTTGAGGTTTTCTTCTCTCACTGTTAAGTTCTTAGCATCACAGGAGGCTTACTCCTGCAGATAAGTATGTCATCCAGAATCGGTTCTTCTTCTATGGTACATGTGACTTAATATGTTTCTCAGTGCCGGAGTGAGAGGGAACAGTGTGTCCTTGGGGTAGTTTGCTCATCTGACCTGCAGCCAGGTGAGCTCTATCGCACCGAGCCTCTGTAGCAAGAAAGCAGTGATGAGTACCACGTTGCCCGCACGTGTGGCTTGTGTCCACCATTGTGAATAGCTTGGAAAAGCCGTCTTTGTAGATAATCGTCTGTAGACACTGGTGTCGTGTAGAGGAAATAAGACAACTGTCTCAGAACAGTCAGGTCACCTTTCTTTTGTTAGAGTGCGTCATTCATGCTGCTCTTAAGTGCGTGCTAATCTTTAATTGGAGGTATTTTTCAATCCAGAATCTGCTGCTACTGGGAGCCACGGCCATAGAAGACCGCCTTCAGGCAGGGGTTCCGGAAACCATAGCGACTCTGCTGAAGGCGGAAATTAAAATATGGGTGTTGACAGGAGACAAACAAGAAACTGCAATTAACATAGGTAATCAATTCTTGAAATAATTTCCTGGTGCTGGTTTTTGTATTTCTTTTTTGAAGTGCCTTGTAGACCGTTTCTCAAATGCATTGACAGATGATGTCTTGTAGAACTCTTCATTCACGAGGCCAAGAAAAGTTCACACGTATTAAATGAATTTGCTCTTATGGGCATTGTCTCCCTTTATAAACATTAAAACCATTATAACTCTTGGAAAAGAATTAAACACATTTACCTGGAGTATAGAATTCAAGAGTTGACGATTTTACAAAATTTTAGTGTAAGAGACTAAGAGAACATATTTTCACTAGGTTTAAATATGCATTATTATTTTATGTAATTATAATCATTTTAACAATTTTACCAATTCATGGTTTTTTTCTAAGAGCCTTGCATCTTTCCAAACTCCCCCGTCTTGGTTGGCAGCTTCTTTGCTTGTTAATTTGTCACAGAGATGAAAATTGAAGAAAGGGAATTTAAGTCAGAATAACTTTCCTAGTGCTGAAGGAGCCCATTTTAAGTTTGAAAAGGAGTTGAAGATATTCATTTTTTAAAAATCTAATTTTGATTATTTGGGATATTTTTTAAATTACCTAGTACTTTGGTCACCTTTGTGGTGAAGCAAGACCTGGCACACACATGGTAAGATGAATATGTAGGGACTGTGTAATTTATAATGTCTTTTTAGAAATAGACTCTATGACTATGTCTATACTCTGGCTTAGAAAAAACCTACTAGGACCTCTTAATTTAAATGGCTATAGTATTCTTCAGAGTGATTTCCTGGGAACATTCTCCACTTAATCCAGTGGTGTTCCTGACCTCAAAACCTTCTGTTTTGAATCAGCTTTGTCTCTCATATAACCTCAGTTGTAAACAATATCTGCCCTCTGGGGTGAACTTGATTTTTTTTTCTCTTTGAGACAGAGTCTTGGTCTGTCACCAGAGCTAGAGTGCAGTGCCGTCATCATAGCTCACTGCAGACTCAAACTTCTGGGCTCAAGCGATCCTCCTGCCTCAGCCTCCCACGTAGCTGGGAGTACAGGCGTGAGCCACCATGCCCTGCTAATTTTTTCTATTTTTAGTAGAGACGGGGTCTTGTTCTTACTCAGGCTGGTCTTGAAATATTGACCTCAAGCAGTCCTCCTGCCTCAGCCTCCCAGAGTGCTGATTTTTTTTTTTTTTAAGAAAATAGACAAAAGCCATTTGATCATTTCTTATCAAGGATATAGCTAAATACATGCAATCTGAGCTTCCAAACAATTGAAGGTAAGATCACAAGGTAGTGATATGGGACTCATAAACAGTCTCTGAGGCATCAGTCATAGACTTTGGGTATAGATTTGTGCTCATTGCCACTCAAGTGCATGGTTTTAGATAAGAGTGTGACAATGTTTTAGTGCAGACTCTTCCCTCCTTTCTAGAAAATAAAACCCCAAGCTTACAGCCCTTTGATGTGTCAGTAGCATTTTAATAAATGAAGGATGACACTCTTGCTTTTTGTATACTCCCTCTGTGTATGTATATAGATTGGCACTTCAGGTATTATTTCCTGTAGGAATTTGGCTTAAACCACCTGCTATGGCTCTGTGGCCCCTGTTGTTCATATAGGGCACACTAAGTTGACTGGCACCCTGAAACACTTACCTAAAATTTAGTTGGTGTGCTTTCTGCCCGCTTAGAGTGATGTGAAAAAAGCAAGTGACCCCTCAAGTTAAAAATTGAATGGTAAATGGATAACCTTTCTTAGTTTTTCAGATCTTAGGTGTTCCTGCTGCGTTAAGGACCTGTGTCCACCCCTGGCCCCAGAGAGAACTTCCTTAAGTGCATTCCGAGCATGCTGCGGGAGGCAGACGGTGCCCTAGTTGGGAAGGGACGCAGCCCTCTCTCGCCGCCTCCCGCCCACCAGCCTGCCTTTTGGAGCACACACGGCCCTTATCTTGCTTGTTCGGATGGTTTGCTACACCTGAGCCTGTCAGGGTGTAGCTGAGTTTGGAACAAACACAAAGGAAAGCAGAGGGCTGAAAATCAACCCAGACAACACAAATGGGTTATTACTCCAGGAGGAAAGTTTCACTTGCATGTGGCAAAGCTGCCCAGGGCCTGACCAGATAATTGCTACCTGTCCTTTAAAAAAAAAATGATGATTGTATTATCTTGTACTTTTTTTCAAAGAAGGTATAGTAACATGCGCAGTGTTGGTGCCAGAGCACTCACACCCACTAGCTATTTCTTAATTTATCTTTCTTAGCAAATATGCGGATAATCCCCGAGACCCCCTAGAAGACGGTGCCCTCCTGCCGATGACTTTGCCAAAAGCCTTGTATTTTTCCTGGAGGTTTTCTCTGTTCCTGTTTGTATCAGCCAGATTCAAACACACGTTTGGTGCCACTAAGAATGCTTTTAACAGCTAGGGAGCTGACGTTCTTTGGAAGAGCTATGTCTGAATTGTTTCTTCACCTTTAGAAATGCTCACGTTTGTAACCCTGGGCGACGCCGAGGGATTAAATGTCGTTTTCTGATGTAGGGTACCTGTTGAGCCTACAAGTGTTGTGGAAGGCTCAGGAGAGTATGTATGCCCAGGCATTTTGTTAGCCTTCTCAGCGTTAGACCGCAGGCAGCAGCTGTGAACTGCGTGAGGTCACGCTCCAGATACAGTGTGCGTTTTGAGCCTGTTTCCTGGGCATGTAGCCCTCACACCACCGGTGATATGAGCCATCATCGACCCATCTCCCACCATACTGTACATTCTAGCCCATTGCGTGTGTGTTGTAGGGTATCCAGGAAACATTGGGAAGATCAGGTATCTAGCAGTTCTACTTCTAGAGGAATAGAGAGAAAGAGAGGAAATTAATGGAGTGTCTGGTGAGTGCAAGTCTAGGAGTGTTTTCCAAAAACTCTTTATTTTTTTTTTTTGTCCTTACATACGAACAGTCTTAAATAGCTCAAGGAGGAAATTCAAAGTTTCCCAAGGTTATCCTCTATTTAATCACCAAACTCTGGTGCTAGATGTCAGGGCTCTTGACTTCTGTTGCAGGGTTTATGTAAAGAGAGTCACATAGCTTTCACAAAAACCACTTTCTGAAATTTGATTTAGAGGACTGGGGGGAATGGCACTACATTTCATTGATTCTAAGGTGCACATTGTGTTTTATATTTTAACGATTCTGAAATTGGGATGTCTTATGGTTGTTGACTCTTAACACTTTTAATTGGCAGCATTTTCTTAGTGGTACATCCGATAAGAGTTCATCTTTAGATTTGGTGACATTGTTATGTTTGAGGCTTGGGGTTGTTGGCTCTCTTGTAGCATTTAGGTTTTTTTTTTAAATATATGCACCTCATAGTTTGAGAATTTATTTTTAATGTGCAACTTTTTGTTCATACCTTGGAAATAAATAGACTTAGTCAAATCAAGTTCTAGGATATATATGTGTCTCTTACGAGCAAGTGAGTTTTATATAGATAGACAATCACCTTGCTTATAGGTTTTAATAGTTTGAAACTGGCATGTTGCCAGAATCCTGCAGCTCTGTGCTTGAATTTATGCTAACTAGCTGTGTTTGGGGGAGTTGGCAATTTTCTTTTTTTTAGCTTAAAAACTTGGCATCAGCTAGTCTAAAGTGAAATTTCAGATGTAGCCCTTGTGAATAGCGTAGTCTCATTTCCTTATTACCACTGGATAAAACATCCATTAAGTAGTTATACAATAGATGTGAGGTTTTCAGAGTCTGTAATTTTTTTTCCTAATGGATGTGGGATGAGTGGGTATTCCATTCTAAACTCATTAAGTTGGAAATAGCTTTCATCTAAAACCATTTCTGAGTTGGAATTCCAAGTCCTCCAGGCCCCTGCATTTTGTTACCTATCATTTGATACTTTTCATCTGAGAAGTTTATTTTAAAACATTTTTTAGAGTAAATTTTATTGTGCATATTTAAGGTGCAGAATGTGCTGTTACAGGATAGATGTAGATTGTCTTTGAAGTTTAATTTTAAGAAGTAAGCATGAGGCTTGTGCATCCTATTATTGCCTGCACATCATTAAAAGGAAGACAAGTCCCCATTCCCAGGAGAAGCTGGGCTGGTGACACTCTCAATCTCTGTGTGGTTTCTCACAGAAAATTTACCTGTATTTACCTAAGCTGGCGTGTTGCCAGGCGCTCCACTGTAGGCTCAGGGAACTCACATTCCCCAGCTGGGGCATGAGCTCGTTATGAGGCAGATTAGACAATGAGACAAATGAGGAAGTGCTAGCTGTGCAGTGTAGATACTGAGCGTGGCCGGCTTTCGTAACAGTTACTAGCAAAGGTTACCTACCATGTGCCGGGTACTGTGCTAAGTCCTCGGCATATGTTTTATGTTTAATTCCCTTGGAGAATCTTAAAGGTATTACTGTCCCATTTTAAAGATAAAACCGGGGCTCAGAGAGATGCAGTAACTTAGCCTAGGTCACACAGGCGTGAGAACGCTGAAAATTTGAGCCCTCAGCGATGACATGTGACATCCACTTCCCAGAAGGAAAAATACATGCATTGCAAAAGACCAGGGAGGGCTTTGTGGGTGAGCTAGGTTTATAACCGGAACCTCCAGAATTTAAAACAAAACATGACTGAGCGTGGAATGGGTCAGGAGGGCCCATTTTGGGGGGAAGCTCTTGAGGCGAGGCTGAGGCAGCCTGTTCTTAGGTGTGACAAGGGGCTCCTGGGAAGGGCCTGAGAAAAAGGGGACCAGGCCGGTGGTTTTGAGGACCAGTCCTCAGCTCCTGGGTCCTCTGGACGGTCAAGGACTCTGGAACCCACCTGATGTAACCCAAGAGACCATCTTTTGTCACCTGTTCGTGAAGTTTGCCAGTGTTTGATGGACCAGATCCTCTGTGAACCAATATTTGGAACCAACAACATGCTCTCTGAGGGTTGGCACCATGTTGAATCCCAATGATGGGTAGTTTGGTTGATGCGATCTCAGGATACGTGGTTAGTTAGGATAAATTGTTCCTCCTGACCCATCCAAAAATGTCTCCAGAGAAATCCGGTTTGGATATATCTTTGGCAATATGGGCTTACCTAAAACCAAGAAAAAAAAGAAAGAAAGAAATAGGGACACTGGTTGAGAGAGCTTAGAGATTTGGTTTGGTAATATTTTCTAGTGTGAAGTAATACTTTATTGTCTTAAAATCAAGTCCTGCTCTAAGTACCATAAACTATGTAATATTTTGCTTACTTTGAATGTCGATTATACTCAGGTAGTGGAAAGACTAAACCCTTTTGTAGTGTGCTGTTAACTTCAGCTGTAGTAAAAAGCGAAATCCCAGCGGTTCTCCCCTCAGTCACTTTATGGCCATCTTGTTAGATTGCGAGATTAAAGAACTGCACCTCAATTTACAAGTGTGGATTGACATTCCATACCTGGCTCTTCTCCAAGAGTTGATCTCATTTTATCCAAAAACATTAGAAATCAAGCACACCAAACTTGGATTGACACAGTTTAATTTGCTACATTAGCTAAGCCACAGTTAACTGGGTTAAACTTCCCTGGTCTGTCTAGTGCATGTGTTCTGTGTGACAACTCGCTAAGCAAAACCTCCCGTCAGTATCCAAATTAAAGAAAAAGAACAACAACAGAAAAGCCCTTAACCTGTTTCTTCTCAGAAGCCTTTGGTTTTGTATATTTAAATTCATGAAAGTGTCAGTAGTGTTTTGGATTTTCCTCCCTGTGCCTTAGCTAGAAAAAAAAGACTTAACAGTTTTCCCATAATATCTTTGTGTAGCTTCAGTTGTCAAATGGCATTTTGCTTAAACTAAAAAATATAAAGCAGCAAGCTAGGGCTTAAAAATTACAGCCTGCTTCTGCAGCTGTTGTTCAAATAAAAACTACCAGTAAATCCTTTTGCATTAGTTATACTAAATTTGTAACAGTCTACATTGCATGAAGTTGTTGGAAGTCTCTGGGGATGAAGAAAGAATAAGCCTAACATAGAGGGAAATGATTAAAGTTGCAATATCCCCTCTGCAAGTGAAAATAAAATGTAGACCTCCCTTCTGGACCTAATCTAAGAACTTATAGGAAGGAAGAAAGCATTTGTAAAATTTTAATGGGAAACAAAGAGTTTGATTATTCTAGTCTTACCAGGCAGAGCTTTTAATGGCGTTCTGAGAGTGTCTCACTCTTATCCGTCAGTATTGTTAAAATACAGACATGAACTAGTTTGAAAATGTATAGAAAATTATTTGTTTCCTCTCCCGTTTTATTTTTTCAAAGATTTAAGAGATATTTGCCCATATGGTATTATGATTTTAAATTATTCAGTTTGTTTTAGTCTTTAAAACAATATGTAGTGGGTTTTAATAAGAGAAATAATCTTACTCCCTTGAGATAACTTCAGTTCACAAGCCTGGACTGTATCTTTTTTTTTTTTGATATTTCTTTTAAAAAAATAACATTTGTATTAAAAGGGAGTCTGAGGCAGGAGGCTTGCTTGAGTCCAGGAGTTCAAGGCTGCAGTGAGCTATGATTGCACCATGGCAATCCAACTTGGGTGACAGAGTGAGACTCTGTCTCTTAAAACAGAAAAAAGAAAACAAAACTGGTGCTCTGAGTTGCTTTACGAAATATTCCAGATGACAGCCGTTTGTGAAGGATATACTTTGTACATTCTAAAATAAACAAAAATATTGCCTCCCCACCCCCCCAAAAAAACCCCAAAAAACCCAAGGTTTTTCTGTGTCTTAATTTTTGTCTGTCTCGACGTCATTTTGCGCCTGTTATTAGGATTTCTTAAAGACGAAAAGAGAACTTGAGGAGTAGCACTGGGCAGGCACGTGAATGCCGCAGTTCTGTTTCTTGTCCGTTAGTTAAATGCCTGTCTCCTTTCCTAGCTCAGTACAGAGTCTGTGGGGTGGATGTTTTGGTTCTGGGAGGAGAAGCCAGGCTTCCCTTTGCTTTGAGAACAGTGTTGGATGAGCCCTTCCTTGAGATTGTCACATACTTGCTTAAAGGTAGAAATTCTATATGCTAACGATTTATTTCATTTTTCTATAATTATTGATCTACTCTCTTAAGTGGCTGAGAAGAAACCGGTTGTGAGGGCCAGTTTTCTGGGGGAAAGGATTGTTTTCTTGTCTTTTCTCGATGAGACAAATCGAGATGGGGGAGGGTGAGCAGCACGTGGGCACGGAGAAGACGCAGGGTGGGAGGGAAGACAGGTCAGTGCCCTGGAGCACGCTGCAGGGGTTCAGGGTCCCTGGACCCTCCTCCCTGCAGCGTGTGCGTTGGCGTGGGGGCGCCAGGGGAGGCTCTTGGCTTGGTCTGTGAGCGGTCGAAGCCCAAGTAGGAAAGAGCAACCTGGAGGGAAAGTGTTAGGTTGATGCAAAAGTAATTTTAGCACTGTTGAAATTTGCCATTTGGTGTTGGAATACGTTCTTAAATAAATGTGGTTATGTTATACATCAGTTTAATGTGCATTTAAAATTCACAGTCCCAAAACCACAATTGCTTTTGCACCAACCTAAATATTAATAGAAAGGAATCTCTTTTAACCTATAGAGAATAACTTTATTTTAAAATGAGATGGAAATCATTGATAAGAATTAGGAGTACTTTTGTTCCAAACAAAAGTTTCAAAAAGAAAGAAACAAACAAACAAAAAACCCCTTAGGTTTAATTTTTTGAAATGGCCATTGCTTTGAATTTTTGGCAGGAAAAGTGACTCTGTCAATGTACAATAGACATTTTTACAAGGAAAGGAGGGATCTTGATATTCCAACAGGCATGGGTTTATGCTGGTTTAGGAGCGTCATTAGATTCCATTTGTCTTCCTAAAGTGTTTGATGTTACTTTAGATAATCCAAGGCTTACCCTGATGTTATGCACGGATAACAAGGATGAATAAAAATCCACAGAAAATTAACAAGTATTTATTTCCAGCCCTTATTTATAAAGACATTCCCAACCAGTTCTATTCGAGCTGTCTGCAGGAATCAAACTCAATTTACTCTTCCTACCCCTATTCCTCTCTGTGAACCCATGGGCTTACGGTGGTAATAAGGTACAATAGCTATAAGAAGGGAGATTGAACTTAAATAACAACTCAAAACCGAGCGCACAGCAGGGATGACAAAGTCACGTGTGTTCTCTCTTCCCATACTTTAGGGTATTCCTGCAGACTGGTATCACAGAACATGGCCCTTATCCTATTGAAGGAGGATTCTTTGGATGTAAGTAGTTTTCAAAAGTTGCATTTGATGTAACTATATCGACCCCATTGTTTGTTTATACCATGATCGATAATCAGAGTCCATGTTTTTTGCTGAGAACAGTTGCAAAATGACTGTGTTTGTTTTCTGTTTGTGTTAATGAACGGATGTCAGAAGGCCTTATCCTTAAACATCAAAATAGTAAGCGTAGACTGTTGTCCCATGATAATACTTTATCTTACTCTCCTAGAGTTGTGCATTTAAAAGGGGATACTTTTAATCTGGCTTGGCTTTAATCATTAAATATGACATGTGAATGGGATCTATTAGAATTTACATTGAGTTGTGATGGTTAACTCTAGGTTACTAAGGAGACTTGTAGGATTTTTCTTTCTAGGACAGACCTTAAAATACAGCTAATGCTCAAGTGTTAAAGGGTTGTTTATATTTGTATGTTAATAGGATACATATGCACTTAATTCTCCAACATCCCAATGCCACCCTCTCTTGGAGAATTGAACAACATGGTTCTCTGAGTGTTTTATAGACATGTACTCACCCCTTATCATGGCCTAAAGCCACTGATGAGATGGGGGTGGAGGAAGCTTATTTGTGTGACCTATGAAGTAGCTTGATATGAAAATATGAGCTGAACAACGAGACTCCATTTGTCAGGGCGTCTAACTAGGGCCTCCTGACTGACAGGCGCCCACAGCCACCCTTCCGGGCGGGAGATTTAGATGCCAATGCTAGGAGCAGATGACAAGGCTGGTGGCGTTTTTTAAGGGAGGAGATACGGTGCAGAGGTTATTACACTTGCAAACTGGGGAGGCCACCACTGTGGACGCCAAGACCCTCTCGCCCGGAGTTCTGGGAGTGTCTGGGGCACCGTTGGCAGCGTCCCCCCCTGGGTCTGGTGTGAGCGCTCCAGGGTGCACCAGCGTGCCCCTCCTCCTTTCTCACGCGGCTGCCTGCAAGAAGCCCAGCACCCCACGTCACGCCTGGTCACCTGGACTCTACTTCTCACGGGCCCTGGAGGGATGAGGAACCCTCCCCTCTGCTAAAGCATGTGCTCCAGGCACCCCAGCACTCCATCCCGGGCTTGTCTTTATTTGTTCTCTATAGAACTTTTCATCGCTGGAAATACTGTGTGTGTGTGTGTGTGTGTGTGTGTGTGTGTGTGTAAACAACCATACAGGTCTGTGCTGTTAAGTGCATTCATACTGTTGTGCAGCCAGCACGACCATCTGTCCACAGAACTCTTCATCTTCCCAAAGTAAACCTCTGTCCCCCTTATACAGCAACTGCCCGTCCCCTCCTGCCTCCAGCCCCCGGCTGCGATTCTGCTCCCTCTCTCTGTGCATTTGATGACTCCGGGTACTTCATATGAGTGGAATGATACGGTATACAAACACAAAGTTTTAGGAATGACTTATTTTGCTCAGCATAGCGTCTTCAGGGTTCATCCATGGTGTAACGTGTGCCAGAATGTCCTTCCTCTCGGGGGCTGAGTAATACTCCATTGCATGCATATACCACACTTTGTTGATCTGTTCGTCCGTCAGTGGACAGTTGAGTGTCTTCTGACTTGTGGCCGTTGTGAATAGTGCTGCTATGAACAGGACCCTGCTTTTAATTACTGGGGGATATATATACCCGGAAGTGGAGTTGCTAGGTCGAATGGTAATTTTGTGTTTCACTTTTTGAGGGACGGCCAACCTGTTTGCTCAGCAGCTGCACAATTTTACGCTTCTACCAGTGGCGGACAAGGTTTCTAATTCCTCGACAGGCTTGCCAACGCTTTTGTTTTTCTGTTTTTGTGGGGTTTTTTTGTTTTGTTTTGGTTTTGGTTTTTAAGAGTTGCCATCCTGATGTGTTTGAGAGTAATATCTCATCAGGGTTTTGATTAGCATTTTCCTATTGAACAGTGACATTCATCTTTACGTGTGCTTATTGGTCATTTGCAGATCTTCTTTGAAGAAATGTCTGTTCGATCCTTTTCCTATTTTTTAATCAGGTTTGTTTGTTTTTGGCTCTTGTAAAATACTTTATATTTCATCTGTCTCCCTCTAGTTTCTCAGAATGTATGGTCCATGGATACAAATCTGATTTTCACCAATCAAAAGAGTGAACCGAGGGTGACGTAAGTGTGAACAGAAGCCGTGATGATAAGGCATTGCCGGGCATGGGTGCTGGTGCCAGCTCTTCTCCAGCTACCGGATGAGTTAAAACAGGGATCAGATCTGACAAGTTAAAAAATTTCAAAATTACCCACAAGGCTATTGTCATGACCATGAATCTTATGCTAAATGTAGATGACACCTTAAAATATTACCTGCGGTGCTATGAAATTACAGGACTTAGTGAGACTTTAGGAACTGAGAGTCCCACTGCTGCTGCCACGCAGGAGACTTCAGGAGTCACTGCCAACGTCCCGCTTCCCTACACGTGGGAAGCTGTGACAAGATAGTAGGACGTGGAATCCGTCCCCTGTAGGAAAAGGAATAGCTCTGTCTCTTCTCTTGTTGATAGAATCAGTCCAGAATCCCCATAAGAAAGGAGTCTGAGGAACGTAGCTTTAAGCCTTCCAGTCCCTGTGAATATAGGGAAAGACACGGAAGAAGATGGAAATGGATACAGGGAGTGAACCACTAAATGCCACCTAGCACTGGCTCATGTGCGGGCAGGAGGCGGGAATCGGGACACAGAATACTACAGGGTCTCACTGATGTGGCTGAATCTATAAAATTAGACCTTTAACGTTCAATCAGTTCTGTGCAGTACTTTGTGATGACAGGTAGAATGACCACGAGCATCCTGAGGACCACACACAAGGTGACTATTTTGTTACTGTTGTTGTTCCTGTGACAAAGAACTTGACAGTTGTCAGGCGGAAAGGTGATGAAGGATGCACAATGGGTAAGAGAACAGGCTCCAGGACACCGATGGGGTTTAACTCCTGCTCTCTGCACTTTGAAAAGCCTTTGTCTGACAGTAAATTCTCATCGTAAGTCACAGATACTATTTATTTTCAGTTTTTCTTTTACAAAAGCCCAGTTTTCCAATTTGATCTTTGCTGACAGGTGGCTCCACGGTTAGCTATCTATAATATGTGTAAAATATGTCGGCACATGGGCATGGACATACCGTCGTGGCTTGTTGCTTCAAGAGGAAGGTGAAGTTTTCGTGGGCGATATGATTGGGGAGGGCTTTCTTCCGGTATGGAGAGAAAGAACGCTTTGAAAAGCTACATTTACAAATGCTTGTATTGTTTTGTGATTTTTATCGCAGAAAATGCAAGGTCCCATAATTTAACCAGAATGCTACGCAGCTCTCCCCTCAGTGACAAATACTCACACCTGTTGAGTGCTTATTTTGAGTGCTCAGCACTCAACATGAGACACCTCTCTTAACCCTCCCAGCAACTCTTAAAGGCCAGGAAACATTCTTTTTTCAAGGCTGTTACTAAAATATTTGTTAGAAAATGTATATATTTTTTTTCTGCCACCCTGATAATAAATTCCTGATAATGTTTACCTACTTAGTAAGATCACTTTATAACTGCACTTGCGTAACAGCGTGTCTGCATGAAGGCAGTAAGATTGTGGTATACTAGAAATGTTGCCTGAGCAAGTTTTCCCTCGTTTATTTTTAGGCAAGTTCAATAATACTTTCAGTCTCTCAAAGATACTTACATTTTAAGGCAGAGAGGCTGTCATAAAGTGTTTTTTTCTTACTGGCCAGTAGTAAATGTTATTGAGTGATGCACACAGGGTTTGGGAACTTGGCTGGCAGGCAGGGGAGAGGTGGTTGGGGAAATGCTCTCTACTATGATGATCTTTGAGCAGCCTTGCAGGGAGGCAGCTAGGAGGCTGTCTGTGTAGGAGACTGTGCATCCCACTTTGCCTGTGACGATCTCAATTTGCATCTGTTGTCCTGGCATAATTTCAGGAGTGCCCCTTTTCGTTCCCCAGAGTGCCCTGGTTTGGAAGGTAAAATTATATCATCAGCCCGTGTCTGGAGGCATCGTGTTTCAGGCAGAGATGGCCAGCCAAGTGCAAAGGCCCTGGGCTGACGCCTCCTGTTGGATTGAAGCAGCCCATGGCTGGAGTGCGACAGATGACAAAGAGGGTGGCAGAGGGAGCCGGAGAAATAGCCGGGACTCTGTCCTCTACCCATGCAGATCATTGCTAGGACTTGCCTTTTATTCTGAGTGAAATGGGAGTCACTGGTGGAATCGTAGAAGAGGGACATGATCCAGTTTACCTTTAAATCGGTGTTTGGCTGCTAGAGTAGGTATAGGCTAAAGGGAGGTAGAAGTGGAAACGGCAGCCAGGTAGAGCTGGGGCCCTAATCCAGCTAAGAGAGGGGGGAGGGTTGGGCCGGGGGGAGGGATCAGTATTGGTGATGGAGATCGTGAGATTCTGGGTGTACAGTATTTTGGCAGTAAAGCTGGCAGGGTTTGCTGACATACTGAGTGTGGGATAAAAGAAGGATACAACTCCATGCGGGTGAATCTGAGCACTGGGAAGGATCAAGTCGCCATGTCCAGGATGAGGAAGGCCACAGGAGGAGCAGGTGTGGTGGTGGACTCAGGAATCCTTTGCAGACATTTGAGGGTTGAAGTGACTCTTAGACATCCCCAGGGCAGTTGAGCATACGTGTCCAGGAGTTCAGGGGAGAGGTCTAGGATGGAGAGAAATACCTGGCCAGTGTGGCAATTTAAAATCTAGGAGACTGCATAAGACCACCAGTATGGATTAGAGGCAACAAAGAGATGTTGAGAATTCGTTGTTTAAAGGCTTGGGAGATGAGAGCCCGTGGAGGAGATCAAGAAAGTATGGCCATTGAGTAGATGGAGAAATGAGAGAGGGCGTTTTGGAAACCAGTTAGATCAAAGTCTTTCAAGAAGAGGGGAAAGGACCACTGTACTGAATGCTGCTTATGGGTCCAGCGAGATGAAGTCCGAGGAACAGTTATTGGATTTAGCAATGTGAAGGTCATGTATGACCTTGTTGGAGGCTGTGTGGGACCCTGAGGAGGTGAAGGTCTGGCTGGGGTGAGTTCAAGGCACTGGGTGGTGGAGGACTGAAGAAACAAGGATGTTTTCAGTGAGTTTTGCTGAAACTTAGGTCATAGGTTAGCATGGTTCCCATCAGTTTCCATATCCCGATGAGCAAATTAAGGGATAACTTTACTCTTCCATAGAGCATAGTAAAGGATGATTTTGAAAACAACTCACCCAATGAAGTAAATATTCCTTTAACATTTTATGTTAAATTGAATGTGGTGCATATCTGTTACTAATGGTCTTGAAATAATTGGCTCAATCAGTCGGAACCTTAAATTTAACATACTGTACGACTCTTTATATAATCTAATCCTACTTTCGCTTAAGCTTTTCACAAAGCAGAGATGGGCAGTACTCTGTTTGTTCTTACCATAGCTGCCTAGTACATCATTTTTATTCAATGGCTTTATTTATAGATATCCCGTGTCTGCGGAAATCTAGATTTTGGGGAGGGTGAACTCGAAATCTTTGTCCACGTTTAGTGCTAATGGTGCTCTTGAAAGCCCCCAAATCAGAGAGAGACTGGCATGCACAACCTTCCAGGGAGCCTGACGACTCTCAACTTACCACTGATGGCTTTCTAGGTGAAGAAAATTGGCAATTACGTGGTATATCACAAGGGTATATCATGAAAAATGTTTAATGTCGACAATGACGGCAGTCGTTAGGCTGATAACAATCTGCTTTGCTGTGACAATGGAGCCAGAGTATGGTAAGAGAAAAATTAGTATATCAAAGGCTAAAGCCTGTCAGGTTCCTCCAACAGTGGAGTTTATTCTGTGTTCAGGTTTCGAAACACTGTTGTTCCTATATAAGATGACTTACGTAGACCTGGATGTGTTATTTGGAGTGACTTCCAAGATGGATTTAAGACAGAATCTTTGATGTAGTTCACCTGATTAATGGGATTGTAGCCATCAAGCTTCGTTCTGAGAATAATTTAGATCTTCTGGCAATCTAATAGTTTTAAACCTCATTTATTCCCTTTTTAACGTAGGGTGGAATGATAGGTATACAAACATCAAGTTTTTAGGATGACTTATTTTGCTCAGATAGTGTCTCAGGGGTTCATCCG